TTATATGAATTAGTCATTTCGTTAATCATAAACATTACTGTTACATACAACAAATAAACAATACTGTGAACACAGGGATATTTTTATTTACCAAATTACTCAATGTTCACACGAAAATTAAGTAGGTACATTAAAATCTCTTGACAACAGACTTTTAGTAAAATTAACTCAAATCGATGACTGAGATATAGGCAACTAAAAAGTGCTTCAAGTCCCTTCGCGAAAAGCCTATAAATAATACTCGACCACGTGAAGCTTCATTCGCGTCATGCGTCTTTTAATTTGACCACAGACCACATAAATACTAGTAATTTGACAGAGTATTATTTGACAGTAAGGCTCAACTCACACTGGCGTAGAGTCGAAGCGTCGCGACGCGTCATGTTTTTCGCCTATAATATATTCATCGCTATTTTCCCATTATTAAGGTACAAATTTGAGTTATGCAAATATGGAAATGGGCGTCGACGCTTGGATGCAGTTGAGCGCGTTAGCGCGTCGTCACACGTCTCTTGAGCGCAGTGAGGCGTCAGACGCCGACCACACTGTGATCCGGGCGCACTAATGCGAGTGTCATCGCGCAACGACGCGCGTCGCCAAGCGTTGTAGTTGAAAAACAGGCCGCGACGTGACGCTTCGACTCTGCGCTAGTGTGAGTTGAGCCTAATTGTTTCAAATGAATATCGGACAGACAACGAGAGCGTTTGCCTGATTTGAAGGTGGTACCGCACCCTCAGATAGTGTACCGTGTAAGTCATTCATACCTAACGTTCGTTTATACCAAATTTGAATAATTGAGGACAAATTAACTCTTATGTAGGTAATTTTATTACTTATGTTTATCGAGGCTGATAAAAATGCAATTATATTACCTAAGTAATGTAGCCTAGTAGCAGTAGAGCTCCTTGTAGCAGCAGTAGTAAAACAGTTTTTGTTTCGTTTTCCCTTTACACATTGCGCTTTTTAAAATAAAATTGGTTAACTATTAGGGTTTTCATATTGGGATCATGCAAGATCTCAAATTAATCTGTACTTATGAATAGAAAACATAAACAGCGTTTTAGGTTGTGAACGTTCTTCGATGTGCAGGTTTCATAACAATGTTTACTTTCGATGTATTGCTATTAAACATCACAAATGTACGAAATTAAATTTATAGGTACCTAAGTACAGTTGCCACAGGGATTCAAACGTCCGCCTCGCAATCAAGAAGCAACCGTTCTCCCACTGAGTTACCACCGCTCTTGCTTAACTACTTTAGTTATTGCCGAAACGTTTTGAAATTGTGACCACTTTGTATCGAAACGGCGTCATTGAAGTCTTTTTGTGGAAACATTTTCAACACGCAAGCAAAAGACATCAACGGGTTTATAATGAGAGCTCTAATCCACTTTCCAAAAAATAGCTTGTAATTTAAAGCAGTCAGTAGTACGGTTTTCACTAAGTTATTGTAGTTAGACAGCTCTTACTTCCGGTGACTATAAATATTCAAAGATTATCTATTTCAATTCAATATATTTGCAAATAATTTGAAATATATTCTTTATACTCTTTATGGGAAAACTTTTACTTATTTCTATTTTGCTGATTTACATGAAACTCATACAAAGTTCAGTAAAGGAACGCATTGCATGAAACATTTTTTGTTATAATACCAAGTGACGGGACGAACAAGTCGTGTGTCTGGTGGTAAGCGACACGTCGTTCCATAGTTGCGGTGCCACTCTGAGCTTTAAGAGTGAGCAGAGGAAAAATTCCTAATCTTCGATTTGATTTTAAAGGGGTATATCCACTTTAAAGTTAAAAATAAAATATTGTATGAGTAAAAAAACGATATATTCAAGCATAGACATTAATCAGAAACATAAAACAATAAAGTTTCCTTGATAGATAAAAATCACGAAATGACCTCTAATTTTCACATTTTTTCGAGATATCCTCGAAATGCTACAGGTTATTAGGACAAAAATTAGATAATTAATTATATTTATGCATGATCGACAACTGTCACTGCGGTTTTTTTTAATCCCTTTAGTTTTAGAGTTATTCCGCCAAAACGAATTTGGTACTTTTAATGCGCAAAATTCAACATCTACTGTCGCATGTCACGCGAACTTCAGGCATATATTTGTTTCACAAATTTGGGCGGAGCCAACGTCAAATCTTTTTGGCATGAGAGCTCTTACCCGCGCCCGTCACCCCGAGACATAAGTTCACAAATCCCATATGCCTGTAATTTCACCAGCACCCTTATCCTTCCAAACCGGAACGTTCGTCCAGAGAAGTACTGCCACCTTACCTATTGCGTGGCAGTACTTCTCTAAACGAACTGTTTCAAGGAGCTCTACTGCTACGTCATATTCACATACGTGTCGGAGAAGGTCTACAAAGTTTAAAGAATACATTTATATTTAATTTTACTGAAATTTGTAAGTAGTATTCGTAAGTGGGTGTTTCCTGTCATAATAAAACTGAATTTTGGCCTTCAGCAGCAAAGGCCACAGAACTCGTATCTGTCTCTATCACAAATTGACATCGATTATAACAAAAAATACATTAATATTTTTTGTTGTCAACTCTGTAGGTAGTTCGTGCGAATGGTCTCACCGAGTACTATAATCTAAATTGCAAATCTTTGCCAAAAGATTTGTTATTTTTTACTGTAATACGCAGTAGGTATCGTGCGTACGGACATTGACACCTTTTTATATTCTTGAGTACTCTACCACTACGGGGGTTCGCAAATCAGCATTACTCCGCCTACCATTCAAAAGAAGTGATAATGATATAATTATTATGTAGGTATTAGTATTACATTGACAAAATATTTACTCGCATAAATAAATCATTAAAAAATATTATATTTAGTCAGTAGCCGTAATAGCCTAATGGTTTCAACTACCGCCTCTCAAGCAGAGCGTCGTCGTAGGTTCGAATCCGGGCTTGCACCTCTGAGTTTTTCGTAATTTATGTGCGAAATTGAATTGAAATTTGCCATAAGTTTTTGGGTGGAAAAAAAACATCCGGAGGTAGGTAACATGCACATATCTGCAATGATTTGTGTGAATTTTCGAATCTGTATTGGGCCTGCGCGGGTACTACAGCTCAAGCCCTCTCAATATAAATATATATAAGTATATATAGGCTAATTATACATATTCAGTATATTTAAAAATCGTTACGGTCATGTGCTTGCTTATATGGGCGAATATTTATTTTTGAAGATGTATAATTTAAAACAAAGATTTGAAATTATAAATATTATAATAAGCAAACATTCATCACCGTGTGATGTTTACTATATGTTGACAACATTTAGATAGTACGTATATTGCATATATTATTGTTTCATTTACTAAGCTTATTAGGAACGACTCTGTTATGTTCGCGCTCCGCTAACGCACTGAAACAAAAACATGGTCGAGACCATTCAATTATCACCGAAGTTCAATGTTTAGGTCACGGTCTTTCTTTGGACACTGCAATGTTTTCCTTTCTTTTGAAGCATGAACTAGTTTCTTAAACAATCCCTTTATATTGCCTTTCATTAAAATATCCGTGGAAATTGTGACGAGTTTTGTTTTACGCCCCGAAGTCGGTTAATGTAACCATAATGAACGGTATTTCTCAATTGTATCTGTTCGTCTAATGAATAAGGAACAAGGTAGACGATGTCGGTAACTTCCTCGCATCAGTCGCTTTCACCATGAGATAACCGACGAATTGAAACCGTTGTTTGCCGGTGATTTGCTCTCCTATGACTCGTGCGATTTCCTGTCACGCACTGCATTAATTTGCAGCGCGGAAATTTTGTTTTCTTTCATATGGAATGAAGATGAATAATAATGGCCGTTTATGGTGTTTTGAAAAGTTCTAAAGTAAAGAAACAGTTTGTATAACGAATGATGATGATTTAAATTTTGTGACTTTAGTCACAATGAAGTAACTCTTTGTTTTAAGAGTTTAGGGGTTTCGTCTGAAGCACTAGTTTAATTTTACTGGGGATTGCGAATTCGTCTTTTTTGGTCAATTTATCGGAAACACACACAAAAAGTAGTCGCGCCTAAAAACTTTTGAGTGTGGGTGTTGAAGGGGTTAGGTACAGTTACGTTTTGACTTGTTGATTTCTCTGCATGCATTTTAGCTGGCTATAAGAAATATTTCTGCAGATAAACGGTATAAGTAGCTTGTCCTAAATAAAAATTAAGGAACAAAGAAAAAAACGTAGCGAACCGGCTCGAACAGGTTCCGTAGAAATTTACTTACTATTTTGAATCATCGGATAAAGAAACACAAGGGCTATTATCGAAACTGGTGTAACAACACGAGCAACCAACGTCGTTCTGAGTTTTAACTCCGTAAAAGGAAACGACGGCTTTGCTTTTGGCAATGACCGCTTAAATCGGATTGCCGTAATTCAGGCCTTGTCACTTAACGCAGTTCCTATAGCTTAGGGAGTAGAAAAACATCGCATTTGGCCATAATGATACTTCCTTAAAAGGATCTACAGCGATATCAAATGTACCAAATAAATTAAAATCTAAATTATATGCATTAATAAAACACGATAAAAGTCAGTTTTTTAAACCGCTTTATGAAAGCAAGCATCAGCGATTGCATCTATAGACGACCATTATCAATTCAATGCAAGCAAGTTTTATATAAGAACACGTAACGTGCTATCGTTAACTTTCATAGGTCACCTAGAAAGCTCGCGGTAACATTGCAATGCTTAAAATATTAAGGATCATCATAAGTGTTCGATTCAATGCTTAAGTAAATTTAACGTTTTTAACATAAATAAAAGTTCGCAAAAACAAACACAGTAATAAGACGTTTGCCAAGACCACTTCTTACCTAAATAATATAATAAAAAAATATATTCCTTGAAAAATGCAGTGTACCTACAGTACAAAAGTGTTTTTTCAATTACATATTTTGACGTACTAAAAGCTCTTAGAGTTAAAAGTTGTAGAGGGGTAGTCGGACGGTGGCCTCACCTTTCCATATTCGGCGGTCCCGGCCCACTCCCGGCGCCATTGACCCGCCACTTCCATGTCGGCTCGGTCTCGGTCGTAACAGCTACACTCAGGAGCACTAGGCTCGTTCGATCACTGCGCGCCACCACGATCGCTCAGCGCGGTGGTTCAAAACCTACTGATCGCGCGATTCGCGGCCCGCGCTCACGCAGCCTTAGCCCACAAAACAAATTTAAATATCGTTATTGCCTTCTGTTCGCAAAAAACCGAACCTACTCGATGTCAACGCCCACAATCGATTTTAGCGTCCACCCAGACCCCGGCGCAACCCACGCTGTTGCAAGTAAAGACCAAATGGTGCGTCAAACTGGTGAACTTGTATTTATAAGCACGTTTACCTTATCTCCCTTTACCTGTAATATTTGCGTTTTTTCCCCAATTTGCACGTAAAAAATATTCTAATCCGAGTTTCCCATCGGTACGCAATGAATCATTATCCCCTTGGCCTATGTATTGCGCTCTTAGAGTAATAATTGTGTAGTAAAGTAAATTAACTTTAATAATTAATAAGTTACTATAAAACTTAAATTAAAATTTAATAACCCCCATTACAAAGCAGCGTACTCCAAAGAGTTTCAGACGTGACGAGCTGAAAGCCCAACCATCGGTGGCGGTCAGCTATCTTTCCTGTCTATGACTATCATCACTAGGTACGTTCATGCTGTGATATGAATTTATAGCTAATAAGATTCACTACGTGACCCACGTGAGAGCGCACGAACATCAATTTTTTTCTATATCTATGAGCGCCACCAACAGCGGAGTTGAAGCAGTTGCCGTGGCCGGAAACGGTCAGGAGAAAGTATATTCATCGGCGTGCGCTATTGCGGCGTGACCATGGTCGAGTTTTTGAAATTTGAGTATTAAGGTAAAAAGTCGCTATTTAGTCGGATCTAGCCGCAAAAAACTAAATTTATTCGGTCCGCCGTTCGAAAGTATTAAAGGTGTTTTACTGTCCATACTGGAATAAACTTATTTCAGCGGCAACATTTTTCAATCTCAAGAATCACAGCACTTAGCTTAGATCTGATTACACCAAAAAAAGCCGTGATAAGCCGCTTTTAGCCGTAAAAAAAACAAATTTAGCCTTTATACCGATTTGAAGTGACAAGGATACTTTACTGTCCACGCTGGAATAAGCTTATTCTGGCGGCACCATTTTTTAATCTTGAGAATCACAGCACCTAGCTTAGATCCGATTGCGCCCAGAAAAAGTCGTGAATTAGTCGGTTCTAGTCGCAAAAAACTAAATTTATTCGGTCCGCCGTTCGAAAGTATTATAGGTGTTTTACTGTCCATACTGGAATAAACTTATTTCACCGGCAACATTTCTCAATCTCAAGAATCACAGCACCTAGCTTAGATCTGATTACACCCAAAAAGCCGTGATAAGTCGCTTCTAGTCGTAAAAAAAACAAATTTAGCCTTTATACCGTTTTGAAGTGACAAGGATGCTTTACTGTCGACACTGGAATAAGCTTATTCTGGTGGCACCATTTTTGAATCTTGAGAATCACAGCACCTAGGTTAGATCCGATTGCGCCCAGAAAAAGTCGTGAATTAGTCGGTTCTAGTCGTAAAAAACTAAATTTAGTCGTTATGCCGTTTTGAAGTTAGAAGGCACGTTATTTATGGACAGTAGTTCAATGATACGTAGTAAAAGACAAACAAGCTAAGAACCATCCCGATTAAATTAGCCTTCAAATAAATAAAACCCCTTTGAAATCAGACAATCGTTTGGGAGCTACGATGTCGCAGACAGACACACTGATAAAAGATTCAAACTTCTAACTCCTCTCTTTTTGCGTCGGGGATTTAAATAATCTTAGTATAGAGTACTAAAAAAAATCGTCCTTAAGGGCATTTATTCGACACGAATTTTATCGCGCTCGCCCCGCGCGATTAAATCACTGCCACAAGATAAGAGTGAATGCGTAGTTAGTTCACTTTATGCAATAAGACGAAAAATTGTGTCATCTGTTGTCATAATCAACAATACTTTCAACAGGTTCATATTTAACCCTGACCGGTTCCGCCCCATGCAATTGTTAAAGACACACAACCATTCTCTTCCCTACACATTTCATCAATCCATCCAAAAAAAATTAAAACATTTAAAAATTTACCAAAATCCTTAGTGAGATGCATGATGGATTAATGCAACAAATAGTGATATAGTTAGCAAATAAAAAATATAGAAAACTTTCACATACACATTCTGTTATATCATTATAATATCAAATCCTTATAACCACATAATAATACATTACATTAGTTGACTATTTAGTAGCTTATTCCTTGCTAACTTCTATCAGTTTTTCATTACCCATTATCAAAATCCTGATTTTTAAAAAGATTTGATGTAGAAATTGAAAGATACAATTTAGGTTGATCTGATCACCTACTGAGTGAATCATTCAAGTTGATCTCATAGCAACACTATTTTTTATTTCAGCAAAAGTTACAGTAACACAATAAATATCATAATGTTCACAGACATAATCTAGATAGACGTCGCGAGTGTACGTACTTCGCGTGCCCAACGTAAGTGAAATTCACTTATTTGCCGCAGCTACACTTCAGAATGCGCTCGATCGTTATCGTAGATAAACACTAGTTGAAAACGCGAAAAATGCATACCTAATTCTGCCATAGTAAACTGCAATTGCACCATAACTGTGGGTAAACGTGTAAACAGAGACGTTTCCTTCCACGGGCAAGGAATTTCGAGAAAACAAATATGCGACTCTGTGTATGCCTCATGTATATATTTGTAATACATTGCGGCTTTTACTTGGTACGACATATTTGTGATCCTTTGTTAATACATATTAATACGCCATGAATATCGAACGAATGCACTTTTGTATAATGCATTCAGTTTCGTGGTACGGCCGCTTGTACATTCTTTTGGCCAAATTTAACATTTAGTGATGTTTATGTTAGGCAACATTGTTCTCGATTCTAATCGATTTTGAAAACAAAGGGACGAAAATTATTATGAAATCATATTAAATAACAATATTATAAAAATATTCTATAAGTCTTTTGTTATAACGTTTAGTAACGTTTCGTTTTTTTTTTTAGTTTGTACTATCTGTTATCAGTAGTATCTGTAATTTCGATAATTTTTGCAGCACGTTGCCTCGAATGTCCGAATATAGTGAGCAAATAATTATATACATCGCGGGATATGTAATATGAGTAAAACAAAAAAATATAAAATGCGAAGAATGTAACAGTGCGCTGTCTTTACAAAAACCTGAAGTTGGGTCTTACATATGAGTTTGTTGCTTTCAAGGATGAAGGTGGCCTAGTTTATCCCACCAAAGATGCAATCCAAATATGCAGAGTAGCAGAGTTAGAAATCATGATCAAATCACAAAAACTTTACACAAGGCCAACATTAAGTAAACCGATTTTGTCAGCAGTAACATTTTCAGTTGTCTTGCCATTCACCAATTTGATCAATCACCGACGGAAAACCATCTAGTAAATTTAATTAAGTCAGTTGCAAGTTTATATATTGACGTGCGTTTTCATTATATAAGTCAATCAATAATATCTTCTATAACAAAAAGGCGGTTATATAATAAGCTTATTTTATTTCAAGGACAATAATTTTAATATTTGAAGTTATATTTTTAAGTAATCAAAATTTTTTAAAAACAACTTATGATAAAGGACAGTTATACTATCTTGTTTTGGTATTTTTCTACTATATTAATATTTCAAATCAACGAATACTTGAATCAATAAATTGAATGGAATATGTGTATTCCATTCAATCAATCGATTTAGCGCGGAAGGAGCTTTCCCATCACTAAATAGTTCTTGTGACGTCATGGTGGATACATAAAATGTCACACGCTCGGTTTTCATACAAATTGCTGTACTTGTGGCCTCTATCTAGATATATGTCTGCGAGAATGTCCAATTAATTAAAAATCAGTAGATTGCCCAACTCAAATTAAGTTACTAATGACCATAGTTACAACGAGCGCACTGTGATTCCCCCATAGGCCATAAATCAAAAAAAATCATTGGCTTATCCCGGTTAGATCAACTCACTAAGTTAGTAACTAGTTAACAAGCTTCCAAAAACTATAAATATCAATGTAATTAGGTCACGTTATCATTCCCTTTGTGCATCGGAAGTGAGCGCATCGCGAGACTAATTATCACCACGTGTGAGTCATCGAAACTTAATCACTTTGTTTTTGAGTGTCACTATTCCAAATCAAGTGTTTACGTGTTGTGAAAGCATGTAGATCCAAGAGCATGGTATGTACTTTTATTATCAATTTTTTTTAATTTTTTTTATGCATACTTTTTTTTATATAATTTTTTTATTGAAGGCAGTTTTTTGGTGAAAATTTTTGGCATAACTTAATTTCCTTTAGACCTACAACTTTTGGCTGCGCTGAGCTGCACCTGAGGTATATGGTTTTTGAATAAGGAGTATGTCCTTATTAAGAGCTATAAGTTTCATTTGCATCTTGCTGCCTCTTCTTGGCTTAAAGGGGTGTCAAAGTATGCATGTCCATAGTATTGAATTTTTAATTTTTTTTTAAGTTCAGCTTTCATATTGTTTTAGGTACATTTTTCAAATGTTCTGTATCGAGGATGACAATTTTTGATATTTGGCACTCTAAAGTGGGTAATCCAAATGAAAAAATGCAACACGTCCTGAGCACTTTGACCGAAACATCATCCCTTTCTGACGACATCGAAAATATTGATTTAGAGACTTTAAGCCTTAAAATTAAGAATATTTGTAAACGAATTTCCCACTACTGGGCAAAGTCGAATCGTACTAGATCTAAATTCTTAGAAAAATATTCAGATTGGCTGCATGTCGTTGAAAATATTGATGTACAGCGAACTGAGTTACGTGTATCTCAGAGCTTTGACGAAGTTAAACCATCAACTTCTTCATCGCATGGCCGTCCGAGAATTAACTTTGACGACACCAGTAAACGTACAAAAAGGAGAAGATTGGCTAGTTTGTCTAACCAAGACCCTTCTCTTGTACAGTCATTGCTCAATGCGTCCGATAGCTTGTCTTGTCCTGAAATCGATTCTAGCGAAGTTTTATCGCTCATTGTTGAAGCTCAGTTAACTCGACATCAATATATATTAGTAAAGAAATTTATAGACAATAAGTTTTCAAAAACCATTTTCCCATCTTACCAAAGTGTCGTGGAATCTAAAAAACACTGTTATCCTTCAGATATTACTGTTACAGAATCATCCGCCGAAGTCGAACTTCAAAGTTTATTAGATCATACTGCCAATCGGATTCTCAAGTCTCAAAAAGATGTTTTGGATAGTGTACCTAATGAGTCTCTAGATAAGATATCTTTGATAGGGAAATGGGGTTTCGATGGCAGTACAGGGCATTCAGAATATAAACAGTGTTTTTCTGACTCCACTCTTGAAGACAGTAGCCTGTTTGTTACTTCGTATGTGCCACTTCAGCTTGTTTTGACAACAGATAACAAAGAAAATTCAGTAGTTTTGTGGAAAAATCCTCGTCCTTCATCAACTCGATACTGTCGTCCTATACGCCTCCGATATTTGAAGGAATCGACTGCAGTGTCAGTTGAGGAAGAAGCTCATTTTAAAGATAAAATAAGGAACTTGCAGCCTACTGTTTTCAAGGAAGAAGATCGCGAATATCGCATTACTCATTGTTTGCAACTTACTATGGTAGATGGTAAAGTGTGTAATGCACTTAGTGGTGTTTCTTCATCAAAATGTTTTATTTGTAACGCCTTGCCCAGTGAAATGAACAAAATTGACGAATGTTTAAATAAGGAAGTCGATGAGAGTAAATATGAATTTGGTTTATCACCTCTTCACGCGTTAATACGTTTTTTTGAATATTTTGTTCATGTCGCGTACAAGTTAGATGTTAGGAAATGGCAAGCTAGGTCCGCTAATGACAAAATGCTTGTTGCTGCAAAAAAATCATATGTTCAGACTCAATTTAGAGAAAGATTAGGGCTTATAGTGGATAAGCCTAAAAGTGGCGGAAGCGGAACATCAAACGATGGTAATACAGCCAGGCGGTTTTTCTTGAATTCAGAAATTTCCGCTGAAATTACTGGGATCAAGAAGGATCTCCTAGATCGTTGCTGGATCATCCTTCAATGTTTAAATTCGGGATATAATATTAATAAGACGAACTTCGAAGAGTTCGCTTTAGAGACGGCTCGGCAGTTAGTTGCCGAGTATCCGTGGTATAACATGCCTGCTTCCGTTCACAAAGTTCTAATTCATGGTGCTAATGTTATAGATTACGGTTTGTTGTCAATCGGAGAGTTGTCTGAAGAAGCAGCTGAAGCGACTAACAAATACATCAAGTCTTTTAGAAAAAATCATACGCGTAAAATGAGTCGCATTGTGACCAACACAGATTTAGTAAATAGGCTGCTTCTTCATTCAGATCCCTTCATAACAGGTCTACGAAAGTTACCTGTTAAAAAAAAGGTGTACTGTCAAAAGCTGTATTAGACTTGTTATGTATTTAAAGTTAATATTGTTGAGATTTAATGTATTTTGGTATAATTTGTGTTTTGTTTGTATTTTGTAAAATGAACTTTTTTATGTATTTTTATTGTTTTAATTTATTCATTTGTGGTTATTGTTAATACAAATAATCATTATTTACACAGTTTTACCATTAAAAGTCGCAGTATAAAATGTTTTAGATACATCGTCTAAAAACAAAATTACTGCGAGACATTTTTACACCTAAATATTGTCAAATATTTTTTAAAATGTATAATTTTATTAATTTACGTTTACCTAATCATATTTTAACGTAATAAAATAAAAAAATAATAATAATTTCGGAGTTACGTATTTATGACCGCCTTAGTATGGAGCGTGAATCACCGTGGAGCGATGGGATGAGTTGTATTTTCTTCAGGTCTAGTTGATGTAACTGCTAACATGAGTTAACTCAACTCGGTGTATGGGCATGCTCCGAAGGTCACTAAACCGCCCATTGAGAACGAGAAGCCGCTGTGCATTGCGCTGTAGCGGGGTGGGTACCGAACCAAGTTAGCTCGAGTTCTTAAAATAGTAGCTCGAGTTGACTTGTCGTGGGAATAACTCGAGATAATTAACTCGACTCGCCCATCGCTAGTTACAACTACTAAACTTCTATTTAACAATATACATGAGTTTAGGGCTCCACATTACAATATTCTTTAAGATAAATAATGTACAAATCTAACAAGTTATTATTACATTTTTTTAATTCAATTATATCTAAAAATGCATCACCTCGGTCCTTATTCCTCATATTTACACATCTGCAAAATACAGCCACAAGCACATCACTACTTTTGTTGCACATACAAAAATTATAAAACAATCTTTGCTCATATCGAAAATTTGTATTAAGTCCTTTGTTAAAGTACCTGTAAAACAACTGCTGGTCTGGTTTGCAGAGCTTTTCCACGTCAGACCATTCTTCAGGTGACAAATCGAATAGTAAACCCACAGAAAGCCCTCTTACAGCACAGGTAACTTGTCCTGACCTGTCGCTAATTCTTATGGTAGCACAACTATGCACCTTTCCCTTCGTCGATGTGATTTTCACCGACTCCAACTCGTATTCCGTAAGCAACCCCCAACTCTCGGTGTGTAATTTCATTTGTCTTCCTTCAGTTAGTTTTATAGGCGCTACATTTTCGAAAAATTTGGTGTCGAACTTGTTCTTGTTGGGGTTATTCATTGGTTTAGTTGAACACAATAGAACTTCCTCTATTCGTATCAAATCTTAAATTCTACAACTACATTCCATTTTCAACAATCAATATTTATGTATCGTAAACAAAAAGCATGATTTAAATGACTTCTGAACATAAACGTTCATTAAAAAACTCCAAGAATCAAAATCCTGCAGTGTTCCGAAAACAAAACAGTGAAAATTCGTGATTGCGCGCGGTCAAGATGACAGTGACGGTGACACATAAACATTCGATCAGAAACATTGCTTCTGTTGCAAACTTCTTAATATTTTTACTTTGTACCACGCCAGCACATCAAGCCTGAGAGTCGTATTCCAGAATTCTACTCAATGCTCAAGTCAGGACTTGAGTATGATTTCAGCACTGGAAATACGACCCTAATGGCAAGGACTTGAGTATGATTTCTAGTGCTTTAAATCATACTTAAATCCTTACTTGAGCATTGAGTAGAGTTCTGAAATACGATCCTCAGACTATGGAATTTTTTTTCGATCCTCTAAGCATCAAGCTACACGTTGAGGTATCTTGTTCCGTTGCACTGGAAGTGATTTTCGAACAAAAATGTGTAGTCTGATGTGCCGTTGTCCGTACATTCTTTTTGTTTGACTCTGGTTTGACGTTGAGCTTGTTCTTTTGTTTTTTGCTATCTGTTGAATTTGTAGAGGAGCCCTCTACGGTTGAACTCTTGTCTTATCGCCCGCGCCGCCCGTAATGTACACAATAAAAAAGGCACCAACTGACAGGTATCATGTCACGCGAGGATCAAGTGGATAAAAAGATCAATATTTCCAATTATCCAAATCTACAAACTCTAATTGACAAGCGAAAGCTAAAATGTCATTTTTTGTTAAATTTGTAGGTTATATTTTATTTAGATTCTTACATTTTGAAGGAAAAATTACGCAATAATTGAATTCTTTTAAGAACATTTATATTGAAAACAAAATGAAATAGTTCTACTCTTAATGTGAGTGCAATGAGGATTGGCTGGGTTCACAAATTAGTTAATAAATGGCCCGGTAATAAGACATTTGGAATGTATAGATTCCTTCCGCTATTCTTTGCACTTGGAGCTGCATTAGAGTTTTCTATGATCAACTGGAAAGTGGGTGAAGTGAACTTTTATAATACATTTAAGAAAAGGCAGGCCCACGATATTGTTGACGAGAAGATAAGGAAGTATTCGGCTGCATAATGCCCGCAGGAGTGACGTGGGGACAGTACTTCTCATTCTCCGTTGTAGCGATGATCTCGATGCTCGCTGGCTCGCAAATCGTCCACCAGCACTATAAGCCGCTGCAGGATTTAAACGAGTATATTAATAGAGAACTAAAGAACTTACCAGACAATGTTCAGCAGAAAATTAGAAAAGAACTTCAAGAAGAAGGTGTTTTAAAGTGAAGTTTTTGTGTTATATTTATTATTTAAGTATACAATAAATAGTGTTAGCATTTAAATGGGATTTTTAGTTTTTGATGTAGAATGATCTTGAGGAGTTATTAAAATATTCACTAACCTGTGAAAGATATGTTTTAATTTACAACTATTTTTAGGGTTCCTTACTTAAAACTTGGGATACTAGAGCCTGTTTGTTTACAATCATTTTAATCACCTTATGTAGTGAATTGAAAAAGTGTTTGTTTTATATTGATGACTCAAAATAGCAACAACTAAAGTGAAAAAGAATTATTATTAGTCATAAAAACGGAAAAAGGACAAGTTGTATTTGGCTGTTGTTAAGTAAGCCCTAGTAAGAATGATGGTAACAATCGAGTATTATTATATTATATTATTATATAAGAGTATTACCTTCCTTTAATTTTAGAACTACTGGTGCAACAACTTAAAAAAAAGTCAGGAATATTCCTGTTAGTAATAGTATAACAACTAAGGAACCTTTCTATTATAAATGCCTCTTGGTTAGGTTTCATATACAGTTTAATTGTTAGAGATGTCCCGTATAAAATAAAAAAAACACAGAAACATTTAAAAAACAATTTTATTTATAATTTGGTACTTTTTAATAAGTAAATATTTACAATAGGATGTTAAAAATTAAATTGTACATTTTATTTTGTAATAAATTATCTTAAATCTAGAGAAGAGAATTAGGGACTATAAATTATTTGTTAACAGTTGTTTAAACTTTGAAAATAGTTAAACAGTTATCGGCAGGCATTTTGAGTTTTTTAATATTTTTGACTTTTGAACACAACATATGAAACAGTATGCTTCAAATAAAAAAACCTAAAGGCTACATTTACACAGACTAAAAAACACAACTGAAAAATAAACATCAATTGTGGTGGCATACATCCAATGCAGTCTTTTCAATCCAAATGGCATTAAACTGGTCACCTCGCGGCGTCAGCAATGGTGCGTCGTATCCAATCTACATGAGATGTGATAGAGTCATATATTCTGGGCCGACCTAGTCCGATTTTCGTACAAGCAATCCGCCAACCACTAACACCTAGAAGGGACCAGTGTTTTGTCTTCTCATCAAAGCACATCATTGAACTTCCCGCGTATTCTTCTTCCTGTAATAAAGAGGTACGTATGAAAATAATTATTTAACTAAATAGTTTGGTAACTTTTGAACTGTACTTACATCACAATCATCCTGATCGTACAGTGGTTCAGCGCAGATTCCATTCACAGTGGCGATACTGACGTTCTCGCACGTATTCATTGGGCTTGTCACTACATGAACCCTTTGCAACTGGTCTCTGTTCCTCGTCCAGCCCAGGGTATTACATACACTGTGATCGCCACTGCCAACACCTGGTTCCGGTAAACACGCTGGTCGTACGAAATCTGTGATTTCAACTGATTCCTCGAGCCGAACTAGAGCGATCATACTGCCTTCAACAGGAGAGCGCACCATCCCGATTATTCTTTGCTCCTGCTGCCATGGAGTGGTGCTCTGTATTCGGACTGTTCCTAAACGAGCTGTCCATTCTGCTTTAGGTTGACCCTGCGATAAAGGAGCAAATTTTAGTAATGGAAATTAGGCGTTTATTTCAAGTAATATGTGTGGATTTTTTTTAATAGTAGTTTACTAACTTGGAAGCAAGAAGCCGTTGTGATAAGCCACGAAGGATGAATAAGCGCCGCGTCACATGCGTGTATGTGAGACCTGAGCAGTGCGGCGTGCCACGGCCAATCCCCGGGTTGCGCTGATCGCGGAAGTCCGTTCACGCCTTGAACCGCATGAGCTCCACGAGCTGACGCCAAACCACACTCTGAAAATATAAATTTATGATTTTCATATTTATTTAATTATTATGGTATAGTGCGTATATCGATCACGTATATATTTATTTATATGTCATTTCCTTACCTAGTTGATCACAGACAATTCTGATGACTTTATGTTGAAGACATTGACTTTTGACAAATGATATCTCCGGGGCGAACGGGTCAACCACTTCTACATACTCTTGTTGTGGTTTCTCAGGATTCTCTATTTCATCGTCATCTTCTGCATCTGGCACAGCTTCGGCACTAATTGCCGCTCTGACAAAATATTACAATGAGTTTAATGTTATTGTTCCATGGTATGAGTAACACTTGTTTTACACACATTGTGTACTTACCTAAAACTCAGGGCTCTGCATAGCGATGTAGCGACACTTGATAGCGCTTTCCTGTCGTTCTCGTAAGGCGCCGCACACACTTTCCCAGATCGACCGCGCTCCGCCCACACCGCATATCCAACGCGGGTGCGGATTGCTCCGAGGGTATTTTCCGCAGTTTCTCGTGTCCAAGACGCCAGTGAGCGAGAAATCCATACTATGAAAATAATGTTTTATTCTCAGTTTACAAGGGATGCCTCTTGCTTGAGATTTTTGTTTTTATAAAAATATACTTAATCTAAGCAATTCAATAAACCATTATGAGTTTTTTCATACATCTGCGCGTATGAGCGTTGCGTTACTCACAGCAGCCAGATTCGTCGCTACCATCCGGACAGTCAGGAGTTCCATCGCAGCGTAGATGCGCGGGCAGGCAGCGCGAATTTAGCGCACAGCGCAAACCTGAGCTACCGGCGGCCACGCAATGTGCGCATCCGCGTTCGTCCTCTGCATTCGCGCAGTCAGGAATACCATCACATGCTCGTCGAGAAAGAGCCAGACGTTGCAATCCGGCACTGCAACCTGAAAAACGACAATGGTAACGATTACCCAGTAATTCCTAAGACCGCAAGCTCTTTATTGAAAATCTTAGTAGAGGTAAGCATGTGCTCAAATCTGTATGTAGGTAAGTACTTGCATTGACTTCTGATCCAGCAAATTGGCAATGAACATAGAGCTTTTTAATTTAATTGTGGGAAAAGCAATAGACTCTATCAACTTTCTACTAGTTGCTAATGTGATCATAAACTTATTTCCTTACAGCAACAGTAGAGTCGAGGTCCATAAGACTATTTGAAATGTGTTTTATCAAAATATTTTTTTAGCACAGTTACGAAATCTCTTCTTTAATTTACATTTATAATTTGGAACATGACAAAATCGACTTATAATAGTTTGTAAAAGCTTATATAATATATATGCATATATAATGCACGACGACATACTTGAACGTCATGCTCTAACAAAATAACGTATATTCACGGACATTGCAGTTGAGCATAAAATAAGAGCGAAATTTTTGTCACGTTCGTCAGTTAAATGTTTTGTAATGCTGTTCCGGCACTTTCTCTACTTGTGTATTTAGTGCAACCAGCCGTAGATGTTGTCCTTGATAATATTTAGAAAGGTATTACCTGGTTCAGGAGTACAAGAGCCGGGGCCGAAAAAATTTGGAAATCGAGCGCAATCGAAATAGGGTTTCAACCGATCAGGAAGTCTGGCTCCGCAGCCTGCGTGGAAAGCCCTGCAATAAGCACGACATGGACGAACAATCCGACCGTTATTACACTGAGGCTGGAGCATTTGGCATACGAAATCCTGTAATAAAAAGAAAAGTACCTTTAGCGATGTGAAACAAGACACTTACCTACCTATACACGGGAAATAACAAATGAACAAGTTTAAGTAGATCACATTACCATTTATCTGCTCCAGTTACTGATACTTTCAGAGTAACGACTTCAAGTTGTGATCATGATGTCGCAGTCGCTGTAATTATGTAGATTCACATCCATCAGCACGCACGCAAATGTTTTTCTCTCGGAAACTCAATTAAGCTTGACACAATACTTAGTAACTAGTTACTTCGACTGCCTCCGTGGCCGAACGGTTACCATGCCGGACTGCCACGCAGAGGTCCCAGGTTCGATTCCCGGACCGGGACAAATATTTATACGGCCTACATTTATTTCTCTCTTGAGTTTGGGTGTAATTTGTGGTTGTCTATGTGTGTGTCCATAGCACCCGCGACACAGGGTTTCCCTAGTGCGGGGCTATGTTGAGTGTGTGCGTTATTATTATTATTACTTACAGTAAATAGCAAGAAATTGTGGTTAAAACGGCTTATTTTAAAACGTACTTGCAATGTTTATTTTCTAACCACGGACTGCTAGCTTATTTTAATAAGATTTAAAATATTATTTACTTGAGCAAGATGAGAGCACTCCGCATCTAGTAGTTCCCTGAATGCTACGAGGTCCCTCAACAGCACATCCTTAGACTGGTGTCCCACAAGATTGGGATAAGAAGTCGAGTTATACGGCAGATGGGAACAGAGAGTCAAAGTTACTGGAGTGCACTCTCGAAGTTCTTCCTCTACTTCGGCTGGTATGGGTTCAGTGGTCGGTGTTGTTAACAGTGGTGTATCGCCTTCTTTTAACGCTTGTGATGATATCACTGAATTTTCCTGGAAAAAGAATACAATCTGTCTTAATTTTCTATTCACGTAGGTTAGTTATTAACCGACTTCAAAAAAAGGAGGAGGTTCTCAATTCGATTGTATGTTTTTTTATATATGTTACGCGATCATTCCGGCATTTGGGAACCGATTTTGATGATTCTTTTTTTGTTGGAAAGAGGGTACCATATTAGTGGTTCCATTTAAAATTGAAGAAAATATCCTACCTCTAAGGGTGGCAAACTAGGGGATGAGTGACTTTTGAGGTTGATTTTCTTAGTACTCTGTACTGACAGTATATAGAGTACATATATGAAAAAAAAAAAGAGTAAAACTATTCATTGCTGCACAGACAGCACTCATGCCAGCTATCAAAAACTGTAATTTACAGCGCAATTAAGTTGCATTCATGTATTTATTACACACCTCAATGTGTAAAGTATCCAATATCGCGGTAAGGTTATCAAAGTAGATTGCAGGCAAAGCCAGTTCTCGAGCTAGCACCGCGGTCACTTCACTCGTACTCACTGATGTGAAGATTGGCTCGAATGATACCTCGAAGTGAACTCTTACACCGTCGTCAGCGCTGCAATAGATAGTTATACAAATTTATCACTATAATTATATATTTATCACACATACGTAGGCAATATAGGGGAGTAACTAAGTATACGTAGATACGACCACGTATACGTACGTGACTAGATGTTATTAAAATAGTTCTATTTAATTATATAAATATAAAGTTTCCACTAAAAATCTTCCAACAGTTCTATAAAAGGTTACTTATATGATAGATGTATAGATATTCGGCCAGGGAAGTACTGTCACATTACCTATTTCTGCCGCCAAGTAGCAATGTCAGCATTACTGTGTTCCGGTTTTGAAGAATGCTGGTGAAATTACAGGCACATGGGACTTGTCAAGTTATGTCACAGGGTGATGGGCGCAGTGGGAGTGCCCCTCAGACCTGTGCGATTTAAAACTCTCAGTGACACTGCTACTGTTCATCAGGCGCACGACTTGTTCGTCCCGACACTTGATATTATTTAAAAAATCCATATACCATATAAATTTGCATGCAAACCAACAGCTAGCTTCTAAAAAGGCTATATTAACATGATAAAGAAATACCTATCCGGTGAGTTCCACTATGACATGTTCAAAAAAGAGCTTCAAGGCGCTTGTGAGCCCTTAACAAAATGTCTATTACGGTAATTCTATTTGCATGCAATACACAAAAAGAAAGGGCCATATACATAAAATCGGCCGGAACATGACCTTCCACGTAGTTCACCAAACGCGCGGCATAGAAAGCGAAGCTCCGTATCCGACACGAAACAGGGCACGTTCATACAAACTTTCTCGCGTCAATGTCCATAGCGCCCGCTTTACTTACCGTTAATGCAATATCAGCACGCTTGTCCTACTCGTAATTGTTATTGGCAATAAGACAAAAATTAAGATTAAGCAATTATCTTCAGTTCAGTGGATAAAAAAATAAAGGAAGTCGCAAAGTTTTCTTTTATTACTGCATTAAAGAGTACAGTTATCTCATTGCTTAGATTTGTATCTCCTTTTATTAAAGTTAGATAATATTGTTGAGTCGTAGCTGCATCTGCGCTGCAACGCTTTCGATCACAATCAGCCTCCAGAGGACTCGAGAAAGTGAACTTTCTACCATTTTGCGCTCGCGTGTTACTGTAACTCTTCGATATTTTCATAGTTATTATTATTATCGCAAGAAATATCGGCAAAAGTTGGAAGCCAAGTCGGGAACTTATAATTCGATTATTATGCTCACGAATCGTGATCGCAGACAAAGTAGTCAAACTTTGAAATTAGGGTACAACCGTCTCTGGTCACCCGTAACCATGGGACCTGTAATGGGCCCGAAAAGTTGGTTTGTTTGAAATAAGAAATAGATCCGAAAAAATAGTTTCATTTCCTACTAAGGTACAATATTACCTACGTAATCCTAAAAGAAGGTGGTTCCGTTACATAAGAATGTCCAAAACTGTGTGAATGTCTGTAACACAGCATATTTTTTTCTTATATATTGGTGGACTTAATTGGTGTTATTAATGCAAACAGATGACTACAAAGTGGAAGTTCACCGGAACCAACCTACTTATTCGACGTTATTACGGTTGCAAAATGAACACAACAATCTTCACGCGCTAAATTCCTTACTGTGAAGTATAGTGTTATATATCGGATGTTATTTACTTGATGATGTAATATGTAAAGCGTTCATTGACCAGATGAACCTTTACAACCTTATTATAAAATTAATAAATAATTATTCTTTATCTATTTTACCTAATTATAATCTTCCTATTTGCATCCAAGATTTTAGATAGAGATCTTATGTTCGCTAAATGAATTAAAAAATGAAGTATAACAAAAATCAATTATCTTATAGAGAAAAATTACGATTTTAATAGATATGATTTATAAAAATCGTATACTTTTGAAAACAAAGGTGAGTGAATAATGTAACAATACAAATAATCGTTGCATTTTCGAAGTCAAATTAGTAGGCTGACTCAAATGGTCTCTTAATGTAGGTAAACCTAAGAAAGATAGTAAGTAAGTAAGAAATAAAGTTTATATTCAAGTGCATTTAAAGAAAACTTATAAGTACTGTAAAGAAACTTACCTATCCAATGCGAGAATTTCCGCGGAAACAAAACAGGATCGCAGCTCAGAATTCCGATAGAGATCAAAAAGGGCTTTTTTAAGGTCGGCTTCCCGCGTTCGGTTGGCGGGGTCTGTGCCCTCAGATCGGTTCCCCCACGAGGACACCACGAAAGAGCCTCGGAACGTTTGCCGGTTGAGCGGGTCTCCGAACAGGTACATGTCTGGAATGAGAAGCAGCGTGTAAATATCGCGAACGACCGCTCACGATTCAATGCACACCATATTTTTTTAAGGAATCACTAGAAATCGCATATGCATTTGTACAGGTAATATTTTAGAATTTTAATCAAATTTGATCATCCTAGATATTATCAAGTTCGAAAAATAAGACACCTGGGCCGCGTTCCATATTCATATAAACAAAGTTACGATATTTGTATCACCTACCTACACATTACTTACCTACGTATTAATATCGGTCAATATTTGGAGCAGTTCATGAATGATGTATTAGATTGTGCACTTGTTACGTTGCGGGGAGCCAAGGCCGCCAAGCGACGTCGGTAGCTAAGCTGGCCCTTGCTATGGTGACGGGCTAAAAGTCGCGAGCACGACAGACATACATATGTACACCCGCTATTTACTAACAAAAGAATCTTGCCATACATACATACATTGACTTACATGTAAGTCAATGTTGCCATACCTTTGATAGTGCTTGCATAGCAGTCCGCTTTTGCTTAGTTCAGTCTTTGTTTTGCCTAGAAAGCAACTTCACGCTAGGCTAAATTCTAATGTTCTCAATTAAAGGTGTGGTGCACCTATGTAGGGTTGTGATTTCTACCAACACTTTTAGTCTAAGAACTCAATGGCATTTTCGCACGGTCTTTATGTACCTCTGCACGGCAATGTTAGCCCTCACCTTTATGGCTTTGTATGCAATAAATGTTCTGATTGTGTTGCAACATTTTGTATCTGCAAGTTATATACTTCCATAACTTGAAAACGACTACAAATGCGACGTAAAACGTATAATGCATTCTTTAAATTGCTATTGCATCAAGTTCATTAAAATTCCTCTTCGCCGAGTGTTTTTCTTTTCATATATACTCAGAATATGGTGTCACTCGTGTGAATTAGTATTATATGTTACTTACGCCCAAGATATACTGCGACAGCCGCGAGTAGTAAAAGTATAAGCAAAGCGGCTAGGGCTGCGCAACATCCCCGGCAGGGACGAGTGAGTTTGCGCCGTGTGAACCTTATGTCACTGCTGACTGACATGGTGGACTCCGGTGGCCGGTGGATCCGGCACCGACGCTGGCCCGTGTGCGACCATCCATAACCAAGCTGAAACAAATAACCCTTACGTAACTAACGCTATATTGCTTGCAACAAGAAACACGGAAGAAATTAGTGTTTTACAACGTTGCAAAACACTGGTTTTAGGCAACCTCGATCGGAAGTCTCAGAGACCAGGAGGTCTCTGAGACTTCCGATCGAGGTTGCCTATCCTATATTTATTAGCATCAAACGTGAGTCACAAGCACAATTATATATTCAAAAAGAAACTACTGTGACTAACAGAGAAACTCGATAAGTTTCGTTTTCATCTCAAAATAGTCGTGGCATATTTGTTATTCTCCATGCACATAAGCAAACACTAACCAACCATCACCTACAACAACAGCACGGCGGCGTGACGTGTATACCAAATTAAGTCGGCAATTGCTCTATTCGGAAAAGATCTATTGAATTATTGACTTTCAGCCTGCCGTCTTTTGTTTGTTCGACAGCTTTTGGAACTATGAATGAATCTCATCTCCTTTTGTGATCTCCACAGTCTCGACACGTATGCGCGTGGAAGTCTTAGTTGGCATGTTATGTAAGAAAATTGAAATATTTCAAACATTCATTTTTAACTAGGTTGCTTTGGTTTTCTTTGTAACTCAAATGTCGGCCCATCCATCAATATTACGTCGATGCATTGAACAATTTTACAATCTTTTCTGTGTTGCAATACTTCTAATTTTATCTTTTAGTAAATCGTTTTGAATAGTTGTTTAGCGTAGTTTCTGTAGATTGAAATTTTAGCTAAAGGTTATTCGTTTTGGTTTATTGTATTCCGTACACATAGTTTTGTGTTTGGTGGTCAAAGTTTTTGTCCTCTTTGTGGATTTGGGTCGTGTTGCGCTGTGTCTACGATCACGTCTTGGGAAGATATTAAGGTTAAATTATATGCTACACTTGTTTCTTCTGTTTTCATTGGTTCTTCGAAAGTAATGCTCAACTACACTAAGCAATAATTATGATATATAAAGTCATTTAATAATATTTACCTCTATCTCTTAATTACAGTGTTTCTTTACATAGCAAATGATTATGCAACATTCGTCACTCTATATACTTATCATATAAGGTTCGTATTTTCCGCAATTGAAAATTGATTTTAACAAACTATTACCAAATGTATTTACACTACACAGTAACAGTTGTTATTTTTGAAATTACCTACCCTACTATTAGATTATATCTTGGTAATGTCAATGTTTTTCAAAAACATTGCGGTCATTCTGCGATGTCGTAACTATATCAAAAACATTAAAATAACAACTTCCAGCGTATTTGATACTTTAAATGACAAGAAAGCCTTGTATAAATTGCCTTGTTGCGTCAACACCAGTGTATTGTATAGGTAAACTGAGCGAGTTGAATGCCAGTTCTAATAGACATAGGTGCTGCAACCGAGCTGCTTTGTAAGGCTTTCTTGGCCCTTTACACTCATATTAATCGTTTAAATAGCTTCGTTTGAAATTGTCTGTATTTATTTTCAATGGTATTATTTTTGATAGTTATTAATTTTACTGTTACACAACAATTAGAATAGAAATATATTGATCAATTATAGATTTCAGCAGGTATATCTCCTTATGGTGCCCAAGTATGAAAGTAAATAAGTAGTGAACAAGGGTACCGAAGGGTATCGACGAACTTACCTTTAGCCATTACGAATAACTACTTAGAAACATTTGTAGAGCTACTTATAACATAAGTAAAGCCACTTACTAAACATATTCGCACATTTCCACTAAATCATTATAAATAAAATACATATTCTCAAAACTTGTATTGCGTTTATTAACCCTCTATTTCTTTGCTAGCTGCTCCTGTCGTTATTGATTAGTTTAAAGATTCAAAGTAACTTTAATTGGCCTATCAACCCAAAAACCACACCTTTTTCTTTTTGAATAAGTTTCCCGTTTAATTTACTGAAGTGCAATAACCCCAATGTGCACATTTCCTGCCCTTATTACTCTACTAACCCTCGATCTAGGTACTTAACACAATTATTATCTAAAGTCAAAAGAAAGAAAGCTGAGAAAAACAACTCTAGTATACAGTAATAAATGTTATTTAAGACTATTTCTGCTTGAATAGACAACAAAATGACTGCTATTGCAGCGTTTCATTTGTAGAATACAAAGCTCGTGGCAAACTTGCAACATTACTGAGTTTAGTAACCTACGGCTGAGCGAAATAAAGCTTTGCTATCTTAAGTATGTTCCCTTTCGAAACAGTTCACGGCGCCGCAAATTGTCAAGAATTTAAAAGCAAATAAGACTAAAAAATTTGCAACCTAAACAGGCACCGCTAATCGCTCAATAGCTCGGGTACAACGCAAGAGCGCGACATGACTGTTATACAAAATGACATTTAGACACAAATACGTTAGAACAAAGAAAAATATTTTTAGGTCTTCTTGTTCCTACTCAGATACAAGGTTAAAATGTAAAAGTAATAAGAGCTTTAATGACACGATATAAATTACTTCAGTAAAATACGCACCGCAATAATGTAGGACAATGTTTAAAATATTTTTAATAGCTATGGCAGCTCAGCCGTTGCGGTTGCTGCTCAATTTAGGAGACAGATGGTTCGAATCCCCGATACCGCAAGTACCTTTAATTTCTAAGTTATGTACAGTTGTAAATGGTTTGTAGCAATACCTCTCGCTAACAGTAAAAGGAAACATTGTGATGAAACCTACGTGCCGAAGAAGATTCACAATCCTCGGAAAACTTGTAATGTCACCAAGGAGACCCGTGCCCAACAATTGAACGAATTTGACGGTGAACCCTTGTATCCGCAAGTATTAGACTCATACAGTACTTACAAAAAGATCCGACCATATTTTAGCTACCAATCATGGTCATGATAAGAAATAAATATGGATGGAATATAATTTTAAAATACTATAACACTGCCAATCCAAATTTTTTATATAGAAATAAACTTTTTTCCGGAAGTTTAACTTTGTTGCCGTCATAATTACAATCATCAGTTAAAATAAGGTTGCACCTTGCATGGATATGTCACTTATGTACAGTTTATTGCCCGATATCTTGATAGAGTTTCACAATAGCTCTATTAGATTAGAATTTATCTTTTATGTCCCTTTCTGAAATGTAAGAACGATGGCGAGTACGAAGGATGTCTTTGTCTATTTCAATTAAGTAAGTATTCTTACTGCTTGATTCGCTGCAGCTGTCGTCAGACAGCGCGCGTGCTACAGCGGCGGGTGCGGGGCGCGCGGCTGCGGCTGCACTTGTCGCAGCGCGACTTGCGACCTACATCAGCTCACGTTTTTGCTCAGCAACCGCTTCAACAAAGCCGAGCTCCGACCACTAAGCACGCTGTCAACCTTTTCGCCAGTTTCTATTAAGATCTCTAACTTCACAATGCGAACGGCTCACTTTCGCTCCAACCGTTTTACCGATAATAAATAGCTTACTAGCTGTACCCACTAATTTAATGTAAATATTGGCCTCAGAGATGCGTGGTCGTTAAAATCACGTATTTAATACTTTCAACCTTATGAAAAGATGTTAACTGAAATAATAATTTCACGGTTGCTCCGTAGTTTCGAGGTCACCGCGCACGATATCTCACGTAGAGTATAAACACGGGGCAGGCAATTATGTAGCTACATTTAAAATTTAACGCTCTATTCGATTTTATGGAATTTAAGGAAATTATCGAATACATGACCATATGCTGAGAGGAAGGAAAGCGAAGAGTTAATTAATTACCGTGGACGTGATGTGAAAGTTTGCACTAAAGTTCGCTAAACAATATATCAAAATGGTCATTAGTTAAGACGATTTAAGTCCGATACTAAACGTTGTACGTTAAACATTCAAGTTTAAGTTTTTTAATGTAAAACTAGGTAACAACATTATGTTAATACATTAAAAACCTCTTATTTTAATTTTAGTTACATTTCTAAACACTACAAAAAACGTCATGTAATTTTACACAACACGTCATTATTATTTCAATAGCTGCGAAATAAGATTATGGAAATTACACTCTCTAATCGGCTATACAAACTTTCCCAGCTATCTGTGCTTCTCTATCTACAAAAAGAAAAAGATGCGGTGTGGCATTATCTAGGTGATGAAGATGAATAAGAATCAAGTTGTGATTATCTCACGAGATATTAAATCTAATAAATCTGAGGCGACCGCGATCATACCATTTGCGGGTCAGTTCACACAAAGATCCATTATTTAAGTGTATAATGTAATCATAACGATAAGTGCAATTGAGTTTGTTTTACTACAGTTCTTTTAACTCGCAAATATGTTGCAAGGCTTTTTGTTACTTTCATTTTCATGTCATAAGTAATTCATTTTTATAAAGCTAACAAAATGATTACGTAAGTTTGTATTCATCTATTCAACTTTTAATAGTTTTTCGTTTGTGACTTTTGGTGCGTTGAATAAAAAATATTCTCTATTTAATTTTTAATAAAATAATGTTAAGCGTTTTGATCACATTGAAAATTGAAATTGTTTTCATTGCATAATTAGATAACAGTTGACATTAACGTTCGCCTTATTTATTAATCGGAAGAACCAATAATATATAATTTTTTGTTTGTAAACAACTATTTTACGTATCAATAATACAGATAGAGATTCCTTTAATCTACAAACTTTTTTTCTAGAATAAGTGTCTTGACTAAAAATCAAGAATCGTGAATCGGAAATTGAGATTCACAATGTGACTGTTTAGTTTCAGTTTTAGAAGGTCATGATGTGAACTTTTACAGCTTGTTCACCTTGCGCCAAAGGTTTCGCAACACATTATTTCTCGATGTTCCTTTATAATATGGTAAAGATAACGAATATGGCTTAAATAAAAATTTCTCGTTCAAATCTAGACAATTTTCTCGCAAAAAGTATTAGTTGGCCCTTCACTGGCTGCTTGCGGACAAAAAAAATAAAAGCCTTATGCAACCATCCTACGTAAAAGAGAACGTTTTCTTTATTAAAACGTCAATAAAT